CGATGAGCACAAAAAAATCTGAATTATTTGAGAACATTTTACGTATTTCCACGGTTTGAGATATTATAATTTTTGCGATTTCGCACTAACGAGTTATTAAATTTGCGTGCGTTTTGCGTTGTATTGTAAATTGTTCTAAGGACGAACCTGTGGGTATCGTTTACAAAATTGACGTGATTTATAGAGTTCATGGTGGCACTTGAGCTACGAATGAGGATGAATCGAGATCTCGCTCATTTCTTTGTGTATAACTCCTAGAAAGCCAATTCGTTGTTTCATTATGAATTCGCGCGCAAACAACATTTTAGTTGGCAAATCTATTGCAATTAATGAATTAGCATCTGAATAATAAATATAAAATGAAGCATGACTTGTTAGTGGGTCGCAATTCTGGATCAGCATTATTACGATTTATTAGTGTGCGAAATAAACAGTGTGTGGCGTAGTAAAATTTGGTAGCAGAGCAAAGAGAAAAAGATAAATATTGGTCAGGCGTAGTTAAATCATATAATTTGGCTCACACAAATGTAAATCGTAACTATAATATAAATATTAAGTTAGAAACAGTTTTATTCGGATCTTGTAAGCTTATCATGTACATCGGTTCAAAACGCGATTTTCTCCGTAAATAGTTTCATAGAATTTGACATGTGGAAATACTTGTCTTGCCAGGTTTTTAAGCTTAATCACTCCAATTTGTATTCGGTAATAATAATACCGTGTCCGCAAGATTTCTTCCTCTATTTTTTTTGATCTATGCCCGGGAAGCCCTAATCCTCTTGCCCTAACGAGAAATCAGATAGTCTAGTTTGCCTTTGTTCATAGTTTTTGATATAGTCGCCGCTATTTTCTGCGTACCACGATAAAATTTTTCCGCCAATCATTCCTTTCAATTAATGAATTTTCGTAACGCAAACTCGGGCTCAACGAGCCAGCTTGCATATTCATTTATTTTTTTCTTGCACGGGTAATCTCACCTCCCTTGCCTAAGCACATCACACGTTGTCTTTCTGCCTTTATTCTCATAAGTTGGTTTCCTATAGCACGTTTACAAAATAATGAGTGAGGAAGCGCATCATCAGGAGGACTTCGGTACTGGTGGATCGGGAGCGTCAGCGACGTATCCTATGCAATGTTCTGCCCTAAGAAAGGTCTGTTTGTTATAAAGCCACATCCTTTTGTAATGTTACTCCGCTTTAGGTGCTAAACTCGTGTGAATATGTGTCTGGTATACGTTATAGAACGGGTATGTTGTACTCAAAGGGAGACCTTGCAAGATCGTGGAAATGAGTACAAGTAAAACTGGAAAACATGGTCACGCGGTATGATATATGATGGTTGTAACTTGACTGATCCACATGAGGTAATATTGAGTGAATCGATGGTCACTGTTATCATGTAGAAAGTTCATCTCGTTGGTTTAGATATTTTTACTGGCAAGAAACTTGAAGGTATGATTTGTCAAATGTTGCAGTTAGGCGACAGTCTAAATCAAAAGGCGCACTAAATTTGAGATGTTAAATCCCATACAAACAGACATTTCCCCATCCACCCATAACATGGACGTGCCAAACGTCACTCGTAAGTTGCATTGTGGTATTGCAATGTTTCTATGTAATCAGTTGGTTACGCTTTCTAACCATCAAATTTAATAACTAGGTACCGAATATTCAGTTTTAAACATTGATGACGGCTTCTTGAGTTTGATGAATAGCGATGGCAGTACTAAAGACGATGTCCGTCTTCCTGAAGGTGAATTGGGCGAAAAGATTGAGGCCGACTTCAATGAAGGTACGTATTTTTTTGTTAATAACATTGAAATAATTTGTCAACGTGTGCATTGTTCCGGATTTATATAATATATTTATTCGTCCCAATTTCTAGGCAAGGAACTGTTGGTTACTATCATCACCGCCATGGGCGAAGAAGCTGCTATTTCCTACAAAGAGGCACCCAGATGTAAGTGTAAAGCCATTAAGAATATTGTGCGGCATGCAGCATTTGTTCCCATTACTGACTGTATTTTTTTATACATCTTTGTTTAGCTTAATTTTTTACGTTTCAAACAAAACCACACTTCGTAATTATTCGAAGAAAAAGTAGAGTAACCGCATCTCATTTACTCATATAAAATTGTCATTTGAAAAAATCACTTAGAAAAAGGAAAATTTCCGTTAATAAATATTTGGATTACTGCAAATATTTATTTTTTTGCGGCATCATAACCATCGATACCCTTTCACTGTTGCAGCAAAAAATGAATATAGGAAATGTTTAAAAGCATTTCTACTGCCGATGGAGGGTATTTATCAACCGCAGTAGTTCCGCAGTAGTTCCGCAGTAGTGAATGGCATCGACTTTCTTCATTCAGACCCTATGCTATCAACGATTTGCATATACGTTTTAGGCATCTTTATTACTTCTCACATCCTTTCTAAAGGTTTCAAACCCAACAACTTTAACGAATTCCCCAGTGTAATTCGAGTCGCCCAATACATTAATAACCTTGCCTCTGCCAAATCTTTTGGTGCTCCCATGACCCACAAGGTTTCCAAAGCTGCAGACACAGTATGGCTTAACTTCATGGCATATGTAACTACTGTACATGGCTCCAAACTACGCAATGCACCTTTAACCACATCTGGATACTGTGCAATCATATTAATGAGATCTATTGCGGGACGTTCAGTGAGCAGGCTGACGTCCGCATCAGGATTAATGTCTAAACCGCAGTTACGTTCGATCGAACAGAGACGAGTATGAGCATATTGAAGATAAGGACCCGTATCACCTAGGAAATAAAAAAAAAAAACTCTTGTGAACAAAGACATCCCGAAAGCAAAAAGCCGCTAGCTTACGATACTGTTATAACTTATCATACCTTCAAAAGAAAACATACGATCCCAATTGAACTCATAGTTACGAATCCTACCCAACAAAATAATAGTAGTGTGAGTAGCAAGCTTGTTTTACTATTGAGAAAAGAACTTTGCACTACCTTTTTGCGGACATGTCTTGAATCATCGTAGCAGAAATTCCGACAATATCAGCAATCTCTTCCGGATTGTCAATTTGTTCATACTTTGCCTCATTTTGCTTCATGACGTTGTGCATGCTTATTTTTGTTTGTTCAAGAATTTCATCCAAGAAAACGGCCGTTCCCTTGCGAGTGCTCATACCTTTGACCAAACCAAAGTTTATGTGTTTGCAACGATTCACCCATTCGTTTCCCATTAATTCCAAAACTTTAAAAAGCTGTGACATGTGTAAATCCTGCTGAGACGCAATGACATAATACATGGCGTCAAACTTATATTTTTCATATCGATCTATAGCTGCTCCAATGTCTCGTGTAATATAGAGAGTCGTGCCGTCTTGCTTCTGGACAACGACAACGTCCAATTTATATTTCTTTAAATCGATAATTAATGCACCGTTCGACTCTTGAACAAGATTTTTCTCTCTCAAGACAGCCAATGCGTTTAAAATTTTCTCATTCGGCACTTGAGATTCCCCAGAGTATACATCAAAATTAACATTGAGGCGAGCGTACGTATTTTTATACTTTTCGATGCTGAGGTCCCTGAATTTCCTCCACAAAGCAAGTGCCTCTTCGTCACCTAACGCGTAATTCAGTACATTCGATTCGTTATTTCCGACAACTACTATAATATACCAAACACGTTTTGGGCTTACCATCCTCCATCTTTTTGAAATAAGCGCGCGCCCGCACATTGACATCATCATCGTTTTCGGCGTCCGCCTGTAATTTTATTTCAAGGGTATTTGAGTTATAAATAATTTAAACAAAAAGATCTGAACTTGATAACTCACGTTAATTTTGACATAGACATCATATAAATGTTTTATAGGATCAGTAAGGAGCTCTTCCTCTGACCCATATTTTTCGAAACCAACAGCCAGAATACCTTGACATTGAATTCGTGCATTTAGTAGGAGTTTCTCCATGCAGACAAACATTTACGCAAAGTCTGTGTTTGATTACCATATTGCTTTCCCCAATCACCAAGATAGTTCATTCCAATTGTCTTCCATCCGTTTGCTTCATGAACATTTTTTATAAAATTGCCTATTATCGTGCTTCGCAAGTGTCCTGCATGGAATGGCTTTGCAATATTGGGGCTGCTAAATTCGACCAACACGGTTTTACCTGCTCCCGTTTGATTAACACCATAACTTTCTTTCTTTCTGCAGATGTGATTTAAAAGAGTCTTGGCAAGCAACGCGTGGGAAATCTTAAAATTCAAGTAAGGCCCGGTTGCCTCTACTGAAACAATATATTCGTTCGCTACAAACTAACGTCGTAAATAATCCACATAGAATATTAGAAAAAAAAAATCTGCCAAAAGTCAGTCTTTGGGCGGATACGTGTCAAGTCATCCACTGGGGAAAAAAAAAAGAGATACCCAATGGAACGTTCACCTTTTCGGCCCAGCTTTTTGCAAACTGCGCGGGATTGCCGTTTACTCGTAACCTAGGTACAGCAAGTGCAAAGTCTCCGTGTTCTGGGTTCTTGGGAGCGTCTAACAACGCAAATATGTCATCGGCCGATTTCTCGGAAAGCTCTGCAACTGCAACGGCTATTCGACTTCGGAATGCATCAAGAATGTTATTTTCCAAGTCTGCGCCCTTCACTTTGAACTTTTCATGGTCAATCGACGAAATTTTATCCTGGGCTGCGACTTGTTCGGTATGCAGAGTCGACATTGAAGCGTCAAGTTTGATAATAATTTTATAATAATAACTATCTATTGGATCACGTGATTGCGATCGAAAAGTTTCCTCTTGATGAGCTTTGGTCACAAAAAACGTCGATATTGGGTCAGCGAACGCACGAAACAACAAGACTCTTTTATACTTGCTTTTCTCAAATCAAGGCCGCAGCACCAAGTAATTATGCAGGTCGGATCACGTGATATCATTCGTATTTATACTAGTATATAAAATCTTTGGGTTAACAATCCGATAAACTGTATAATATGTTGGATCTTATCAGAGACGCAGCGCCAATAGCCGCAGCGACAGTCGCAGCGGCGCTCGTTCTTGTCGTGCCATTACTTGTCACTTCAAAGAAAAGCAAGCGTACCAAAAGGAAAAAACGTCGCTCGAAAAGAATAAGGGATGCTCCGAAAACTTATGTTAATGGCCTAGTCAACCAAGGGAGCAATACCTGTTTCCTGAATGCAGTGCTGCAAGCTTTTGCTTCTCTCGATTACTTGCGATCCTATTTAGAAAAACGAGCTTCCTGCCCCCCGCCAGATAATACTTCTAATGTCACGATCGCTCTTCAGCATACTCTGTGTCGACTTAACGAACCTTTGCAAAAGCGGCAATCTTTTCTTCCAACAGAAGTCGTTTGGGCTCTTCGAACTAATGCGAAAAGCTTACTCAATCGTGAACAGCAAGACGCACACGAACTGTTTGCTTTGTTGTCGCAAGCGCTGACTGATGAAGATGAAGAATTGCGCCGACCAAAATCTTTGTTTGACGTGCGGACTGTTCGTTATATGACAGGTCACAAGGATAGTTATCCATTCGTACAGAATTCTGAAAGGAATCCACTGCTCGGTTTGACGGCCTGCCGAGTATCTTGCATGAGGTGCGGCCATTCTGGTCCAATTAGGCATGCTACTTTTGATCACGTATCAATTCCTCTTCCACAAACTTCTAGTTGTACCTTGGACCAAGTGCTTCGGTCTTATGCTGGTATTGAATTTCTCGACGAATTTAATTGCCGTCGTTGCAGTTTGTCTGAAACCTTAATAGCTGTTGAGGATAAAATTTTCCAGTTAAAACGAATCCCAGGAAAAGAAGCAACCAAGCTTAGGCAGAAATTAGGTGTCGAGCGAGTGCTTATAAAGAATGCTTTAGAAAACGATAACAATGAAAACCTGGACAAGCTTCTTGAGGCAATGCCCCTAAAGCGTATGCCGACTCCAGCATCAAAGCAAACTATGTTTGCAAAGCTACCACTAGTTTTGGCGATACACTTATCGCGCACTATTTTCGTTCCTGGTATGACGGGATTTACGGGGATGACTGTGAAAAATACTTGCCAAGTCAGCTTTCCAGAGATCGTAGACATGTCGTCATATTCTCCGACGGGCTATTTAGCAAATATGCCGAGTGAATTGCATTCCAAAGCAGGATCACCACTTTCGTCTCCTACATTAATAGCAGCTGGAAGTTCGCGCAGTAATGACCAGCGTTCAATGCGAAACACGCGGATCAACTCGTTAACATATCGGCTAAAGTCTGTAATAGTACATCAGGGTGATCATCGCAATGGACATTTTGTCACCTATCGACGGAAGCATCGAGACAAGAAGTGGTGGCGTACGTCCGACGAGGACATAAGAGAAGTCGATTTGGAATCGGTTCTTAAAGAGGAAGCATACATGCTTTTTTACGAAAGGATAGGTCAATAGTCGCGGTAGATGCCGGATTATGTTGTCTGTTTGTATAACTTTTGCATAATTCTTAATTTCAGCTTAGTAATCTCCATTGTAAATACTGTAAAACCTAGGTAGGATATTATAGAGAAGTTTACATGATACTTTTCCACAGTGTATTCAATTATTGTTTGCGAATGACTGTACATAATATTATTGTATATACCACGCTTTTGTCGCGATAATAAAATGGCATAATAATAATGACTTACTACTCTGCTATGAATTGTCGTGTAACGGAATTTTAAGAATTTGTAGCACAATGTATGAGATATTGCACTGTGAAACGGGTAATCAAAACACCTCAAACGTTCAACATTAAACATGTTGCACATGGCGAGTCTATTCTCTCACACAACACACAAGATCTTCGTTGGGTGACACTCAACCCACTCGTCACTCCTCGTTTCTTTCACACTCTTTTCTTATTCTTAGGCATTTCACAAACACCCTTGCTGTACTCCCAAATTTTACTCCTAGATTATCCATACCTCGACCTCCTGCACAGTGGCCAACTTTGCTTTGTACCGTTTTCGAGCGGGAATAACGCGATTTGGCCGTTTTCTCTGTGAGTTTGCTCAAGCTCAATAGAACAAAATGTCTTCAGATAGATTGGTCGACTATGTCTTTATTGCCGGTCTGCCCAACGACTTTCATATAGATCTACTGGAAAAGTCACCGCCCGACCTTGAATTCAAATCCAAAGACTTGCACAACGCTAAATCAAACGCTTCCACAACCCAAAGTCACAGTGATGACGCAGAGTTAGCTGAAGTCGCGAGTGAGCATTCCGCTGACATCTTGTTCGAGAACATACGCTCTAGCATCTCGCGTTTCGACCACGAACGCGATGAATTTTTAAAGGCGATTGGACGAGCTTCTATGTCCAAGATCCCAGAAGACACTCATGGTGATAGAATTTCGTTTATCAACAGACACAATTCAACGTCGCGTGGGAGATCGTTATACATGGGTAATAGCTTAAAGAATGTAGACGAGAATTCGTCGGATCTAACGCACCAGAATAATCTTATTGCAGAGGAGAATGAACAGCGTCGAAGTAAGTAGACTTTATGGGTTTCTTTTTTTCAGGTTTAATAATACAAGGAAATAGCTAGAGCGTTTAGATAATCGAACGTATGACTGACAAAGCACATTTGATGTTTCATTAAGCGTCATATTTGAATGTGGCACCTATTTCGCAAGACAGTGAAGCAACTAAGAAGGAGAATCATCCGTTGAAACTCAAATTTAGCCCACGTCTTCTTGCTCGTTATCCGCAAACAGATTATTCGAGCCAAGAAGATTTTCCCTCTTATATACCTATGGTTGGAAACGTGTTTCTTTATTTCGTCTAAGAATTATAATTCTTCATCAAGACTTTATTTATTAATTTTATCTTTCCAGTTTTGCTTTCCGAATGATATAACTATATGCGAAAGCGAAGAAATTCCTTCTGCAACTTATCACGGTTTTGTATCCTTTGTCATCATGGCTGCTGATATTGCAATGTACTCGTTCATATTTACCTTGACCGATAGTCTTATAGGTAATGACTCAAGAAGACGGATCGAAGCGTTATGGTGGTTGTCTGACTACTTATGAATCGTTGCCTGATCGACTTGTCAAGGAGGTTAAGGCCCTGCACGATCAGTGGTGTCAAGAAAACTTGGTGAGCATCTCATAGCTTTACTTGGCTTTGACTCATATGTGAATGATTTCTCAATGCCTACTTCTGATATGAATTATCAGACGGTCAATGAAATCGACTATTGCGCCCATCTCGCCGAGAAAATTCGAGACGAAAAACAACGAATAAAGTTGGCACAAATGAAAATTTCCCAACATGGAGCACAGATGACGTCACAGGCGCTTGCTGAGACCGAGCGAGAAAGAGCTGAGGCAGAAGAGAAACTTGCATTGTATACCCAGCTTTTGCAACCGACTAAGCTTGGTGTTATAGATACCAGCAATCTATGGATTCCAAAATGCATCGGAGTGATATGTCAGTTACCTTGGCATGATGTTATGAGAGACTGGCTATGTGCTGTCGCGTGTCCGTCGGTTGAAGGATTGAAACCTAGCAAACAACAGAATCGTAATTTGCCGTTAGAAAGGTTGGTTTAATTCTCTAATGTCTTTGATGCACTTCTTACGGATCGATATTAAGCCGGCTGCGCTTGAATTCCAGATATATTATCAACATTGTTCATGAGGTACCGCTTCCCCCTCCCGGTAGACTTCAAGTTGCTATCACTGTTGATGATACGCAACTCTTTTGCTCCAGGCCTGCACTAAATCAAATCCCTATAATGAAGGATGTTAGTAATCTCAATGACGTTTAATGTATATGGCAATACGTGCGTCGAATAACAGCTAATGAAATATTATTTTACCACAGTTTTCGCTATATACCCTTTTCCGCAGCCTTTCTGTCAAAAATATCTTGACATTGTTTGAGGTTTGCAATGATCATAATGATTGTCATTTCGTATTGATATGTTATGTAATGCAATGAGTGTTCCATGTTACAGGTTGCGCTAGCAGAAGGAAAAATACTTTTGATATCATCTTACCCAGATATGTTATTTGTTGTGGCTCATAGCATAAGCTATCTTATTTATCCGCTCTCCTGGCAAGGGGTTTTCATTCCAATACTCCCAGCTCGATTAATAGGATGTGTGCAGGTACATGCAATATATTAATTTTTATCGTAATGTTTACAGTTTGAGTCATAGATTGACTATGAATTTTTTCAAGGCACCTGTACCGTATATAATGGGCATTGAACGTCAATACAAGGGAATGGATCTACTTCCTGAAGATGTAAGAGACATTTGTTGTATTATCGTATCTCAGCTACCCTCCAAGACTCGGTAACTTAACATTACTTTGATAAATAGGCTTGTATTGTGGATCTTGACAAAGATTGCATAATGATTGGTGAAATGCCCTGTCAGATCCCACCACGACAAAAACGTAAATTGGTACAATCCCTAGAAGCTTATGCTCCTCTGCATTCCCATTATAACATTCCATTTGGTCCACCTCTTTATCTACAGCAAGCATATCCGCACAATCGATTTATGCCAGTTTCTGAAAAATCAAGAATTTTTGAACAAAATAAGCGAATCACTTCAGTTGTGGGAATGCCAGTTCGATCAAATCCCATGACATTTGCAGTATCAAACAGAAATAATCATCGCAATTCTGTAATGGTGCCTGATGCTTACATTCCTCCAGACGTTGGAATACCGCCAACTGTCCAATATGCTTCCAATAGGTTCTCAAGATCCAATTTTTCGTTACAGAGTGTCCCTGCACCTGGTTATCAAAGGCGCTTTTCCACTTTTACTGCAGTGGAAGGCCGTGACAAGAGTGTCAAAAGTGAAAGGGTGAATATTAATTTTCTAGCATCAGTGTTGAAGAGAAGTCCTTATATTTGCTAAAATATCAGACTTGAAATTTGAAGATTTTTTCAGCAACAGAAAAATTTAACAGGAAGCCAAAAGATCGCTTTGGAACACTGAACAGTGCGCGTAATTCTATTCTGGTACAAAAACATTACACTACTGTCGATTATGCGCATTTTCTCTTTATTAAATAATTTGTACATACAGGCATTTGGCAGCAAAACACTGAACCGTCAAAGTGTATTTGGTCTGAAGAACAGTGGAATCAATACCAAAGGAAATATGCGTATTCCCGAATCAGTGCAGCACGATAATCTGTCATTATATGATGATGCGTCAAGCATTTTACTTGATCCGTCTGAGCGTATACCAACGGATCACAAATTTTTGCCCAGAGAGGGTCATTTGATGGTTGAGATTGAGGATGATGATAGTAGCGAAAACGGAATTACCACTTGGATGTTGGAAGGGCTTGCGTGTGGTATCTGCAAAGAGAGTTTGGGAATAAATACTGTTTTCAAATGTGAAGGTAAGTTTTTGACTTTAGACAGACAATAACTTACTGTTAGTAGAGAGTGCATTCATACAAAGGCGGCAGTTATTGATAAGATATGAATTAGCCATGAATAATTTATTCTGTAATATCATTTAATAACTACAAAACCGAATCCATGCGGTTTGTTTTCCCACAGGTTGCTCGATGGTGGTACATGAAGAATGTCTTGATGATATTGCTTATCCATGCATGCCAGCATGCTTTGATGAACAAAAAGTGCATGACGCCTTTCTACGCGTCTTTGCCTCCTTATTTAGCAACTATAGAAATTTTTTGGCAACCCAACTCGGCGGTGTTGGTGACATTCATAAAGATGGAGATCATGATAGACGTCTCACAATCTTAATGGAGGATAACGAAGTGTTTAAGAAAGATGCATTTCTCAAATTAGCAGAGAAAGAAGCCAAGGTTAGTCGATTTTCTAGACAATTAGAGAACTTTTATTTTTGAGATATGATTGAATCTTAATCAACTGGCCTTTTAAATATAGCCATTCCTATCCAGATTGGTCGATTCACAAGCATTCTCCCATTTCATTTATGAACGGGTGGTGTCGCCTCCGGATAAGCACGATATTAGATACTTTGACGAGATGATTACTGCAAAGCTGAATAGATCAAAGTTGAGGCTTGCGAAAGAAGCGACGTTTTTCCTTGATGTAAGTAAGACGTTCTTAAGACTGTAAAAAATACGCGTAAGATAATATCTAATAATTGTGATTATAGGATACCTCTTATGCAGTTACACAAACCCTCCGAGCTGTGCAACCGAAAGCCGGTGAGCTTGACGGTAAGAATACACTCTATGAATGTGTCGAAGTACAAACGATTCTTGTTCAACGCCTCATTTCGATTCTATAATGCAGATTCACAAGTTGAGAGTAAGAAGACCTTACCATCTTCCTTCAATCCTCGATTAATGTACAAACCAAGACCACGGCAATCATTACGTCATTTAATGTAAACGAGTAGACAGTGCTGGTTGGAGTTGCAATATATCGCCAACAGATCTAGCCTTTACGATTGAACCAATTATTTCTCGACTATGGCAATGCTCGTATTAACAGACGACATCCCAACTATATTCGAATTATAAAAATATTCAATATATTTATAGTACGTTCCCTCTTGCCGTGGAAATCCATTTGTAATTAGAGACTTATTGTAAATACCATAAATCTCCCAAAATTATCGAACAATTTGTAATCTATATTTAAATCTTGCACTACGCCTAATAAATAATTTGTAATGTCAAACTTTTCAAAGTTTTGGATGTGCTGAAGTGCATATATTCTGTAACGGCATCCTCGATCGATATGAAACCCCCCCACCCACACCCAGTCTAACCCACTGTGCTTACTCATTAATAATCGCCAACAAAATGACAAGTTAAAACCATAACGCAAAAAAGAAAACAAAAAACAGAATGTTGAAAATAAAGACAGTGCAAACTTTACGAATGTCTTAACATACGAGAAAAACATAAATGTTTGAATCTGAAATTCTTTCTTCGGCAAAAACATGCGGTTAACAGGGTTACTCTGCCGTTACGTTCAACGGATCCAAGCTCATCGCCAATATTTATTTTCAGTTCGATGATGTAAAATTACATCATAATGTATGAGTGCTTGATGCCTCAGCGGCTATGAATTGACGACTAATGCAAAACTCAGGCGTTTGCCATTATAACACGTTTATAGAATTTTCTAATGAAATTCTGGGATAATGTAATAATACATTTTACGACATCTTCCTAGTTGATGAACTTGTTATTTGCGTGCGCCAAATTAATTTTTAGCGTTGGAACAAAACTTGCGGACAGAATTATGGCTGTATATTGACGGGCCTTGTACATTTAGATTCGTGCAATTTTTCTTAGTAAAGCTGTAATCTTTTTCTCACTTAAATGGTCGAATCACATAATCCACATATTAGCTCTTGTCGCGTGGGCAACGTAATATTACAGATATTACACGAACGTCCCGTATATGCAATACATATATGGAAGGTTCAATGTAGATCTTATTAAAGCGTTACCTGGACGGCATAAGGGCAGGAGAAGAAGAAAGGGTATTCTCAAGGTCTGATATATTTTCTTTTAATGTATAACGCTAACGCGACAAGTACGGTACCTCAGAATGGCGTACTGTGGTAACATCAACTTACACATGTGACAATAACTTAATAACTTGACAGAATTATGTGTTTCGAATTTAAACATGCCTATTCTATTTGATCTTGTAAACTGTTTATCCTAAAATACGTTTAACGAATGCTTTTGTTTTAGGCGGATATTTCTGGGTTAATTTCTTCGGCAATTCATTCGTCCATTAATAATACTCTGTATTTGCTATTAAATCTTAAATCAATATATCAAAACAAGTTCATGGCAGTAACATAGAATTTATCAATTTTATTTAAATTAACTTTGCTTTTGTTGATGTCGTATTTCTTTTGCTCAATATTACGTTTTTAATGTTCTTGTACTGGTCAACGATTTATTTTATTTTATTTTATTTTATTTTTTCTAAATAGCTTTTATAAAGTATGCACCTTGCTACACTCAGTGGAAAAAAGTCACCGGACACTTTGTATATTTAAACATTAATGCAAAATGTGAATATTTTTTAATAGCTTGTTGGACCCCC